AATGCCTATGCTGAAATACGAACAACGGAATTTATCGTTTTATATGAACGGTTTGAAAAAAACATCCTTCTAATATAGCCGTATCTTAGAATAGAAGCAATCAAAAGATTTGAAAGTTTTACAATAAGCTATTTTCATTAAAGCATGTCTCTATACAAAGTTTCAAGTCGAAATTAGAAAAATTAATTTTTCTAGTGTTTCTGAGAGAGACCACGGCATTCTATTGAAATTCGATAAAAACTCAATATCTTGGCAATAATAAGCTATTAGCTAGAAGTATTTTCAGAGTATTCATAGCCATTGGCGGGCCGGACCATAATTTTCAGGGGGGGCAATAAGCACTTTTTCGCTTAAAAACGCTTGTTTTCATGGCGTTCTTCTTAAGTCTCAGCCAAAAAAAATTTTTTAGGGGGGGCAATTGCCCCCTCTCGCCCCTATGCCGGCCCGCCCATGTTCATAGCTCATTAGAATCTATGAAATGCATATAGTTCTGACTTGAAAACAATTTGACATGTAGAAACATTCTGTCATTAAAAATTTCATCTCAATTTTTTTAAAGATAAAAAAAATTAGATGAAATGATGAAGTAATAGACTTTTGCTAATCTCTATAAGTTATTTTTCGAAGATGTCAAGTAATATTCGAATCCGTAATGTTGTCAAACAAATACTTTTTTACAAAATTTTCCTTTGAACTAAGTTGTGGCTTTTATCTAAGTGAAACGTTGAGCACTGCAAACTGATACATTAATAAAGGTGTCAACATTTAGAATTACAATACTTCTAGGAGATATTTTTAAGATAATCAAAAATTTGAAAAATTTTGACTCATCCGTCAACTATTGCAGAAGCAATTTTTTTTCTTTCTCTAAATTCAATTATTAAAGAATAGGAGTTAGATTTTTGTGACGAAATTTTATTTCGTTTATTTGTTGTTACTGTGTTTTTTTTTCTAACCTTATTTTGTCCACAAACGAATATAATCGAAGCTGAACGTGCTGAATTATTACAAGCATCTTCGTATGGATCGCCATTTTTATAAGTTAGAAGTATCCACTCATCTAAAATAAAATTATATTCTTTGTTTTAAGCCTATCTAATAATCGAGAAGAATTCAGATGAACCTCCTCGAACAAGATTAACTTGATCTAATTTTCCGAGAACATATGAAGAATTATTTTCTTTTTGAATAATAGCTGTGTCATCAGCTGAATTATTAGGCGATGAACATATTCCAATAAAATATGTTAATCCGTTGTTCGACACTGTGAAACTAAATAAAGAAAATTGAATAATAAATAATGACAGATAAGAATAATATTTACTTTTTTCCAAATTTTTCCCATTTTTTCATTTTCTCATAAATATCTTTAGTATGTTCATCTTTATAGAATTGACATTCTCCATAGACTAATGAACAATAAACAATAAAGAAGAATATTCTACGTATGACAACCATCTAGAAAATAATGCCTTATTAATCATTTTCTTTCATAATTTTTTTTAATCAAATTTTCATGGGTATTCTATGCTTGATTGAGCAGATAGCAAAGAAACAACATACTAGTTAAACAGTCATTTTTTTTTCGTTCTGTGTTTCTTTCTTTCTTTCGTTTTTTTTGATTTTATAATTTTGATTGCCTTTTTCTTGCTTGAATCAATCATATACAAAGGGACACAAGGAATAAAAAGAATAAAGAGGTGTGCCACTCGTGATAATTTCAAAAGTAGTGTGATAATAACCATCATCATCAAGCTGATGTACTCAAGGTTAGTTCAAATAATTCATTTTCATTTTTGTTATAAAATTAAAATGAGTGTATGACGTAGTATATTTCTTTTATTTCTAATGTATATATTTTTTACATATTATAATTATCTTACTGATATTTATCATAATACGACATGTTTCTATTCTCGTTCTCATTTTTTTCTCTCTTTCTTCAATGCTATTTGAATGAATATTTCTAAACGAAAAATATTTACAAAAAACAAAAAAGAATAGGATGAGACAAAGAAGAAGAACGAAAGTATACAGAATCATTTTCTGGCTGTATCAAGTAAGTTGTCTGGTTTCAAATGTCTTTAGCAAAGACAAAGAAAAATGCGTGTTTATCATTCTTTTTCTTCTCTTGTACTCAAGGTCAGAAGAAAAAGACACGAGAAATATATCTTTTGATTTTAATGATGAAAAATCTTCAATGCTCAAAAATTTATTTCTTTTAGTTAAATAATGTCAACTTCAACTCCATGTTTGAATTCTCAACATTTACCAGTAAAAACTCAATTAAGTGAAAAAATTCGACAACAAGTTGATGATAGACATTGGCAATTATTTGAAACACGTTTAAAAAATTCATTTACAAAAATTCATAAAGAAAATTATACAAAATCAAATGATTATGGTTTAGTAAATTGTTGGAAAAAAGCTGATCAATCACAATTACTTATTGAACCTAATCAACGATGGCAAACATTCTGCTCACAATTAACAACGAAATCGAATGAAACTGATCGTGTTTTGTCTATATTTCATAATGTTTGGCTTAATGATTGGCATAGAACAGAAAAATCTAATACGAATACAAATGAAAATACATTTTTAAAACATTTATCATTAAATGAACATGATAAAAAAGTTATTTCTTCAATTCTTCATAAAAAAAATTAATCCAATATGATTTATATTAATTAAGAAAAGAAAAAGATTAAAAAAACTTTTTCTTCTCTTTTTGAATTTATTTAAGTCAGTGGCGTGTAGTTTTTTTTCTTTTTACTAGAATTTTTATTATATCTTATCTGATAGTGAGTTTCTTTTTTTCAATAAAAAAATAAATAACGACAATCGTGATTATGCTCAGAAGGAAGAAATCCGATTCAATGCATTCTTATCTGTTCATCTATTTATTATGAAATACATTTGTAACTATTCCAAACAATCAAAACATCATTCTCAATTAATATGCATTTTTGTAAAGAATGCGTAAAAGAAATGTTTTACCAAATAATCATCATCGACTCTCAAATCAATGACTGAAGAAGAAAAATAAATTAATAATGAAAATAATAATGAAATATATAAAGGATCCATAAAGGTGTACTTGGTAAATTGTTGTCGATCAAAATGCTACTCGAATCCAAAACTTGTCGAGAGAGGTCGTTCCTATCAACATATACGTTTTACAAAAAAAAAACAACAGCACAACGGGCAAGTGATAGCCATAGAGGTGTATCAATAAAATGAAGCAAAGTCTATTTAGTTTAAAAATGACTACAATTCAATGTTGAGGCCTCCCCTTCCAAAACGAAAGACTAATTTTTCTAAAAAACACACTTTTTAAAATAAATATATAGGCATGGTTCCTAAGTTATCTGATTTTTAATATTCATTAAAATGATTTCCAATTCTATAATATACCTCCAGAATTCATGATGAGTTTCTAGAACTCTTCAGCGAAAAGGCTAATACCTAATTCCATAGGAAAATTATAATTGCAATCGCATTTATCGTTCCTCTGTCATATTCCAATGTGTAACTAGAAGATCAATTGATAAGAATCTAGATGAACTTTTAATGGGTACGTAATATCCCACGTCTAACATTCTGTCTGTTTGAAACGATTCTTTAAATCATATAAATACATACAGTTATCCTTTATCGGCAATATCATCCATGTTAATACTTTTGAGTTTCCGAGGAAATCTTGAAAAAACTTTTAATGTTTTAAACTACCTAAAACGGTATGACTACCGCTAGAAACGATGAAAACCAATTACCATTTTTCACTGGAACACAAACGGTGTTGTTTAAGATCGCTTCAGTTCAAAATCAATGCATAGTATTAGGACGGCATTATCATTATTTGAATTGAACCCAAGATAGTATCCTGCTTATACTTTCTATTATTATACGAAGCAGTTCATTACATAAATAGTATTCCTGCAAATAGTTTTATCATTACAAATTACATTCAAAGTAAATGTATGAAAAAGAAGCGTACACAGACGCAATAATCATGCCTTTTATGCATGAAAGTACCATCAAATATTGTTTTTGATAAAGTAGTTCACTGTATAAGAGAAAACTATGATTTCAAGGATGTATTTTTTAACAAGTAACTCATTATGTGTTCGTTTTTCGCTATTTTTAAACGGTTACGAACTGTTGTTTCGATATATGGTGAACCACACCATTAGAGCTAACGAGGAAAGGACCCCAACTGATCAATCGCTTTTGTGTTGAGACTATGTGCATTATGTAGGTACAAATGAGTCATGAATACCCTGAAAAACGTTCGGGCTGCCAGCATATTGCTACGGAGATATTGCAATTTTACGGTATATTTTTAAATGAATGCCGTAGTCCCTCTCAGGAAAACCAGAAGAAATGATTTTCGAATTTCGACTTGAAACTTTACATAGAAAGAGATCTTACTAAGAATAGTGTTTTATGAAAGTTTCAGATCTTGTCGCTGTTCCTACTCTAAAATGAGAACATGAAAGCTTCTAGTTTATCTGAATGAAGTTACCATAGTTGTATCTACGAATAGGAACAGCGACAAGATCTGAAACTATCACAAAACACTATTCTCAGTAAAACCTGTTTCTATGTAAAGTTTCAAGTCGAAATTCGAAAATCATTTTTTCTGGTTTTCCTGAGGGAGACCACGACATTTAATTAAAAACATACCGTAAAAGTGCCGTATCTCCGTAGCGATAAGTTAGCAGCCCGAACTTTTTTTAAGGTATTCATAATTAATTTGTACCTACATAATGCACATAGTCTCAATATAAAAGAGATTGATCAGTTGGGAACCTTCTCTCGTAAGATAGATTTCTTACTAGGCATCTAGAACGCAAAAGAATGGGTTCTATCATCTATGGAACTTACCTATGTAAAAAGAATTACAAACGAGAAATATGCGGAGGTGTGCACATGTACCGGATAATTCAATATTAATATCGTGTCAATCATCATGTTGGAAGACATGAAGACGTTATTATACAGTGCACATCGTATCCCTGAAGAGATCTCAACAAAATCTATTTATTGGTGCTTAGACTAATCCTAAAAAGTCAATTGAGCCTGACATTTACAAAAAAAGAGTAAAACACAGTTTCATCTCAGCACAACATTTCCATAAAATATTAGGAATTAATCCAACTAGAAATAGTAGATAAAATGATTAAGATTTATCTAGTAAATGGTATGAAAAAAATATGTAATGATATTGATGACATACTTTTTTGATTCCACGTGAAAACAGAGTAAAACCGACGATCGGAATAATGATCGTTTCCGCTAGGACGTAAACGATCATTGAAACAGAAGTCGTTTTCTTTTACTATTTTTTCAGCCATTTACGCCTTTTTACGGGTCGTTCTATTCGACCTGACATAATTATATTTGATGCTCATGTTAGAAAGTTCTTCATGTACATATTCAAAAAAAAAATGTTCGTATGTTTTTCTCGAAATTGATTTGTTTGTAAATTGTCGAATTCCCAATATATCTTTTTTTGATAGTGTTCGTTCTAATGAACTGCTTTGCCTTTTTTTATTCAATAGATAGATGTAATCTCTTTCGGATGAAGAAAATGAATTTTGCATTCGACTCTCACTATCAAAGCAGGCAAGAAGTTTTCTAGAAAATATTCCTGAAACTTGTTGGATCCTTCAAGATTTAATGGGCAAATCTTCGGAACGATAAGATTTGGAGCCGTGAAATTTTTTTCTATTATTGTAGTTTTGGAGGACGGAGAACCTTAATATTGTGTACTGAACAACCTTCATATTTTCATTCATTCGCTCTTTTCTCGAAGAGTACTTACTTTTTAAAAAAGAAGAAATCGTGTAGCATACATAATGAGCGGAAAAATATTTCATTTTGAAGAGCTAAACAGACTATCAGGAACGGATATAAAAGGCCTTCTCAAATCAATTATGGTAAAAATTAAAATAGAAACATTAAAAGCTATTTTATACAATATTTGCTACCGTGTGAGTGTCTAATGAAATATTTATTTAGTACTGTTAGCATTCAAGTTGAATAGAAATGATTGTAGCTCAGATGGTCTTTGTTTTTTTTTTGTATCTACTTTCGAAATTACTAGATTAGTCTTATTCAATTTGTCATTCACATAATTCTGTTAGACTAAAAATATCTTTTATTCAATATAATCTAAGAAAAGTTGAAAATAAGTCAGAATGAATCTTTCATATTTTGCTTCGTAAACAAAAAACAAAATGTAAATCCTTCTAACAAGATCAGTTATAACTTCTATTGGGAATAATATATCTGAGTACAAGTCATGCTTTTATTTCCATTGAATCAAATTATAATAATCTTATTTAGCTATAAAGAAAAAACTTTTAGCGAAATACTAAAAGTCATTCGAATGTACTTTACTATTCAAATATTCAGAAACATTATCAAATTTCAAAGATAATATTTGAAATATTTAGTAAAAATCCATTATCTTTATCAATCTTTCTTTTATTTAGACTCTTCTTCTTTATTGATATTTTCTGTTTATTTATCGTGTTTATGTATACATATTTGTTTGCTATTATTAAGTATCTTTACTTTAGGCAAAGATCATCAGAAGCAGAAAGAATAGATATTTTTGCGTCTATAGAGAAAACGTACTCAGTTAATTAGAAAAAGGATATCTTGTTTACATGAAACAAATTATCAAAATTAAAAAATTAATATCAACTGAAAGGAAAACAAATTATTATTTGAGCATTTAATAACTTAAATGCTTTTATAACCTTGACATTCTAATAAAATATGAGTATTCGTAGATGTTTAACAATATAATCGAGATCACGCAAATATAACAACAAGTCTTTTGTTGTTTCAGTCAATTCTCATGCATTTCTATTAATTCAACATTCATTACTCATAGCTGCCAGCGACAGAAATATTAAGAAAAACATTCAGACAATAGAAGATGTCTCCTTCTAAATTGCTTTATTTTTCTAGAACGGTTCATATCAACTAATAAAATAGATATATAAATAAGAAAAAAACTTTATCAAATATGCTTTATGTCTTTTTCAGATCTACGATCAGACAATAAAATTTGATTAAGTTCATAGGTAAATAATATTTTTTTTCTATAGAAAAAAAATGCTTTCTTTTTAATTACAATAATGAAATTAAAATGCAAAAGAGTTTTGTTTTTTTTGTTGAATCTAAATAAATATAAATTTGATTATTGAATATTCTCTTCGACAGTTCGAAATTCTAATTACACATAATTGAACCATATTAAATTATCATGGACCATTATTTGAATATTTTGAACTGTCAGGTTCAGATTCAGATGTTATTCCTCGATGACGTCTTGGAGTTGCAGAAACACCATAAAATCGTCGAATATAAATAATTGTACATAATACAATTAATAAAAGAAAACCAAGACTAATACCAGCTCCTAGATAATAATAAATCCGTGGTTCCTCTGTACCTTTAGATGTTGTTGCAAAATAAAATAAAACAGCTGTAAGAATAAGTAATATAAATGCAAAGAAAAGACATGCATGAATGCATCGTTCTTGATCGGTCAAAGTTGATTGACTTAGTGTATCACGACGTCGAAAAAAGAGCATAATGATTGAAATATCTAAGTAAAAAAGAGATCTCAATAAATGACATATATACAT